GCCCTTCTTGCCGCCCACGTTGACTCCGGCAGGCTCCTGGGTGTGCGGACCCGCTCCAAACGAGTTGTCTGTGGTTGTTCGGGGCATGCCTGCGCTTTCTTCCTGCATCTGCTTCTGGTCCTTCATCTGGTCGCCGTCGGACGACTCGTGCAGAGGCGAGGGCCGGGGCGGAGTGTGTGGGTTGTTGGGGTGCGATCTGTGGAACGTCAGGCGCTCCTTGAGCTTGCAGGAGGGGCTTCTCTTGGAGGAGCTGCTCTCGTTGCCCGAGTGCGTCGACTCCTCCTTGATGGCGGGCTCGCGGGTCGAGCTCTTCTTCTTGGGGGGCTGCCAGAACATGCCGTGGCCTCCGTCGCCAAAGCCGTCTCCACCGTGGAAGATTTCTTCGATGCACTTGTTGACGGGGACTCCCTGGGGAGAGACAAAGTAGCCCCGGGCAAACTCGCGGCGGTACTCGCAGGTGGCGTCCAGGGCCTCGCTGGCCTCCTTCTGGTGCATAGCCCCGAAAATGTGCTGTGTGGAGAGCGGCGGGATCATGTAGTCCGTGTCTCCCCTGAGCTGCTCCATGTCGATGGAGATGTTGAGCAGCGAGTTGACCTTGGACTGGCGCAGCAGGTACCTGTGTGTGATGGGCTCGTCCTGGGCGTACTCCGCGAGATTCAGCTCAACCCGGCCCAGGTGGTTTCTGTCCGAGGTGTTGATCTCCTTGTCGTTCTGGCGGTTGGTGCGGGACTCCACAAACACGTCGAACATGATCGACGAGCCGTGCAGCATCTTGTCGTCGTCGATGCGCATGCGGAACTCCATGGACGTCTCGTAGTTCCACTCCGCGCGGTGGTTGCGGATTTGCGCGACTTCGGTTCGTCCTCGCGAGTCATTTCGGCGATGGTCGGTGAGATGCCATCGCACTATGCCCACGCCTGTGAGCTGCGGCACGTTGGCCAGCTCAATGATTTTGAGCTTGAGGTTGAACCGCGGACGGTCGCTGGAGGATCGGAACATGGCTCGGGAGAGTTGCGTAAATTAATTGAGAAGACGGCGATGGTGGATACAAGTTGCTGCATGGAACGAGCTTATCTGGGGATTTTGGGTTAGGGCACCGTCAAGGCGGTTGCTGGGTGGTTTATTCAGGGGTTTCCGAAACGACTTTCGAGGTTTCCGAGACCTAGGGCTGTTATTAATGCCAAATTAGTCCGATTTTCGTCGTTTGAACATCTACAGCACCCCCAGAAACGCATCTCCGAGGACCAAAAACACATGGCAAACTCTCCGCATTATGCCTAAAAAGGCAGGCAGACTAGCGAGCGAGACTTATTTCAACAAGGTTCAATTAAACACACCGTCTAGATGGGCTTGGAGGAATGTAGCGTTTGGAGCTATTGTGCGCGGAAAGGCCTCCGGAAGAATCCCAGACGGATTAATTGGCGTCGGCGACTTTGTAGACTCGAAAAAAAACCTAACTTTCGCACCACAACGCCCTTCCCACACGCCCTCTTTTTGTAGTCATGGCTGAGTCAATAAGCTCTATACTGTTGCATAATTACCCCGATTGAGGTAACGTAGCGTTCCTGTCGGCGAGACAAGGTCGTGGGAGTTGGCGTTGATTGGCACGTAGACGCCGTCTGGCGGTAGCCTGGCTGCTAAGAGCGCCGTTTGGGCGCTATACGTGCTACTTTTCACTCGCCAACCCATGCAAGGAGCTTATCGACCTGGCTAAAAGTGGCTGAAAGCGGCTTGGTTTTGTTAATTCTAAACATGTAAGGAGTATTACGTATTCCGTAGTCTGTAGTACAAGTACAGTTTTATGAAGTAATACAGCACACGCTGAGACTTATAGAGCTAAAGAAGGACCCTACAGCACAAGACAGCGTACTCCCAGAGCTACAGACTCCATCGTATAAGTCACGTGCGGTCTCACGCACCGTGGTTCGAGTCTCAGGGCTGAACAGTTTGCCGGCAAACGAAAACAACGTCCTTTCAACACTCTCAAGCCCCGGTCACGTGAGAAACCGCGCTTTAGACTCGCACTCAGGCCCTCCCCAGACCAAGGGCCAGGGACGTGCGTGATTGCGAGCAACCGGGTAAAACCTTCTTAGCCTCACCACCACCACAACACGATAGAACATGGACAGCGATCGGGATTCCAAGGCGGTGGCCGAGCGGACGGAGGCTGCTGGAGCGGTTGCGGAGGCCCCGGAGGCCGATTCGGCTCCGGTTGAGCAGCCCAAACCCGCCGAATCGGCTCAATCTGACGAGCAGGCTGACAAGCACGATCAGATTGAGAACGGCGTCCAGGAGGACAAGCAGACCAAGGAGGAGGACAAGCCCGACGTCAAGACGGAGGCCGCGGAGAACGGGCCCGAGGCGGAAAAGCTGGAGGACATGACGGAGACCAAACCTGAGCCCGTCGACGAGACCAAACCTGAGCCTGTCGTCGAAACGACGACTGCGACTACGACTACCGACAACGCGGACGAAATGCACGCTCTCCCCGCCGACGGCGACCTCATGGACACGTCGGACGACTACAAAATCAACATGGATCAGGTGCAGCTGGGCGACTACGACAGCGCGTCCATCTCGGGCCAGATTGCCGAGCGCATGGCGCAACCCATCAAGACGGAGTTCGACGCCAACTTTGTGCCGCAGACGCTGTCGCTGGTCGATCTGGAGAACGGCCACGGCAAGCGCAAGTTCGAGGAGACCGCCGAGGGCCCAGAGCTCGACACGCAGCGCGCACGCGAGCTCATTCTCGACGCAGACGTCAATCCCGCCCTCAAGGCGCCCCAACTGCGCTACATTCCGCTCAAGACGGGCGTTTGCTACGACGTGCGCATGCGATACCACGCACGACTGGTGTCGACGTCTTATGACTACGTTGACCCGCATCCCGAAGATCCACGACGCATCTTCTCGGTGTACAAGGCGCTGGTGGACGCGGGGCTGGTCGTGGACCCCGAGTACCTGGGCCTGGAGGACATAGGCCCGCTGATGGAGAAGATCCCCATCCGCGAGGCGTCGCTGGACGAGGTGCTGGAGGTGCACACGCCCGCGCACGTGGACTTTCTGGCGTCCACGGAAAAGATGAACCGCCCGCAGCTGCTGGAGGAGGGCGAGAAGGGCGACTCGGTGTACTTCAACAACGAGTCGTTCAGCGCCGGCAAGCTCTCGTGCGGCGGCACGATCGAGACGTGCCGGGCCGTGATTGAGCGAAACGTCAAGAACGCGATTGCAGTCGTGCGTCCGCCGGGCCATCACGCGGAGCCCGGCAACCCCGCGGGCTTTTGCATGTTTTCCAACGTCGCGGTGGCCGCCAAGGTGCTGCTGAAGCGGTACCCCGAGCGAGTGAAGCGGATCCTGATTCTCGACTGGGATGTTCACCACGGTAACGGCACGCAGCGCGCCTTTCTCGACGACCCCCGCGTGCTCTACATTTCGCTGCATCAGTACGAGAACGGCAAGTTCTACCCTGGCGGCACGTTTGGCGCACACACGTCCGTGGGAACCGGCGCTGGAGAGGGATACAGCGTGAACATTCCGTGGAGCGCTCCCGGAGCCGGCGACGCGGACTACATTTACGCGTTCCAGAAGCTCGTCATGCCTATTGGTATGGAGTTCGATCCCGACTTTGTGATTGTGTCTGCGGGCTTTGACGCGGCCGAGGGCGATCTGCTCGGAGGCTGCAAGATCACGCCCTCGGGCTACGGACACATGACGCACATGCTCAAGGGCCTTGCCTCTGGAAACCTTGCTGTTGTTCTTGAGGGAGGATACACTCTCGAGGCTACAGCCAAGTCTGCGCTTGCAGTCACCAAGGTGCTTCTGGGCGAGGCTCCTCTGCCGCTTCCCGCGGCCTTCAAGCCGACGTCAGCGACCATCTCCGTCGTCCAGGACGTGGTCGAGACGCAGTCGCAGTACTGGCGGTGTCTGCAGCCCGGCTTCGAGACCATCATCCCCAAGGAGATCACGTCCTACGATCTCATGGGCGACGTGGTGCGCTCGTACCAGGCGCGCAAGCTCTTCGACAAGTACAAGCTGTCGGCTCTGCCCAACATGGGCGGCAGCAGCAGCACTCCCTCTGGCCGAGCTGCGACCGCCGGTCCTGCCTCCGGCTCGTCCATCTCGCTCGCGGACCAGATTCTCGCATCCCCCAAAATCCACGCCGCCGAGACCGTGGTTGTGTTTGTGCACGACCCGCCGCAGATCTGGGGCAAAGTCGACGCCGTCACCGGCGAGCTGGACTTTGACTCGTGCATGGTCGACGTGACGACCAAGTGGCTGGAGTGGGCGCACGGGCGCGGGTACGGCATCATCGACGTGAACATCCCCAAGGCGCTCAACGGCGCGGACGACGACAACTACTACGCGCTGTTTGCGAGCCAGGAGGTGTGTCTGTACCTGTGGGACAAGTACCTCAGCGTGTTTGACGCGGCCAACGTGATCATGGTGGGCTTTGGCGACGCGTACGCGGGGCTGGTGCATCTGGTGGGCCACCGCGACACGCGCGAAAAGGTCAACTGCGTCATCAACTTCATCAGCGAGACGCAGCTGCGGCCCATCGTCTCCATCATCGACGAGTACATCACCGACTGGTTCTACCGGTCGTCGCTGGTCTTCACCGCAGACACGCACCCCTGCTGGGACGTGAGCACGAACCCCAAGAAGCCAAGGCGCAAGTTTGGACGGGTGCTGCGGTGCGACAGCACGGGATTGCACCGGATTGTGGAGGAGCGGTTCAAGGAGGCCATCGAGTTCATCGACGACCAGCTGGAGGACGACGAAGAGTAGTATGCAGTTACGACATGATGTATTTTTATATAGAACCCCTGAAGTCTTATGATTTATTGCGAGTGAGTGAAAGTAGAGAGGGTATAGGAAGAGGGTGTAGGAAGAGGGTGTAGGAAGAGGGTGTAGGAAGAGGGTGTAGGAAGAGGGTGTAGGAAGAGGGTGTAGGAATATGGACCAAAAAGAGGGACTTCCACAAAAGGAAATCAAAAAAAATCTGCCTTCGACCAGATTTGAACTGATGATCTCAGCATTACTAGTGCTGCGCCTTACCACTTGGCCACGAAGGCGCGGATTTTACAGTTAAGAAAAAGTGGCCATGCACACGTGACACCTGAACTCAAAACCTCTGCAAAATTTCCAGTTTTTTTTGCCTGTTTGGCACCTGGGGAGGGCTTTACTTGTGATTCTAGTGAGATTTGTGTTTTTAGTTTTCCCCAAATTTGGCGTTGACTGTGCTGAACAGCAAGAGTTTGTTTGGATCATAGAAAGGACACGTATTTGGGGAGGCTTCAGATGGCCTTTGTGGTAGGATTGGGTGTCAATTTCAACTGGAAGTGAATTATATGGGTGGAAAGTAGGCTTCAAATGTGTTGTATTCGATTTTCCAATTACTACTGACGTTCTGAAGACTGCCTGACTGAAGGCAAATGCACCTCCAAGGTGGTCGAACGAGACTGTTCAACATGACCCTATGTTAATTCATTGAGAAGAAAAACTGAATAAACCAAACTTTTATGAGCCCACGAAACCCCCCTCAAACATTTGTACCTCTGTAAGCCCCCTCAGGAGCCACCTCTCGCCCCGTGTCTCACCTCCTCGAAACTCAGGAACACATCACCAACTTTGAAAAACAAGACACCTCGATAACTTGAGCAATTGGCATCCTAGAGGGAACCAAGATATATCACAGTATAATTTAAACGCAGAATTATCCAACAATACAATAAATTAATGTTTTATTCTCATGCAACGCCTCCAAACAGGCGATCAAAAACCTCGGTCACATGACATCTTTGGCCCGGGGTATTCAACAGGGTCACATCACCCGCACGTGCCAGTCCCGGTGGCCGAGTGGTTAAGGCGTTGCCCTGCTAATTTGTTAGCTGTGAGGCAGTGGGTTATGCCCGCGCAGGTTCGAATCCTGTCCGTGACGGTTCTTTTTTGCTCCTTCTCTTTTTCTGTGGGCCCTGCGTCTGCGAAACATCATCGGTTTCATCTTTTTTGTCCCTGGAACCTACGTTTCGTGTGTGCTCGTATCTGTACGCTTAAATTATATGAAATGCTATTAAAAATGACATGCAAATATGCTTACTCCTCCCGGTCGCTCTCGACGGTGCTCAGAATGGCCAGTTCAGCGTCCTCTTCCGTGACCTCTGGAGACTGTAGCCGCACCTCCTGGACCACGTCGTCCTCGGGCTTGAGCAGCTTGACCTGGTTGGTGTTGTACGACTTGCAGTTGTCGCACTTGAGTCCCAGAAAGTGGAACTTGACGTTGCTCTTTGCCGAGCAGTCGTTGCAGGTGACGATGGACCGCCAGTCTGCGTACGGAGGCGGCAGCGGCTGGTGCTCGATCTCCGTGTCCATGATGCGGAACTGCGCCTCCATGTTGAGAATGCTCTTGGCGCACGTCGGACACTTGTACGAGACTCGGGTGTGGTCGTACCAGCACGTCTGGTGGATGGCGTGACCGCACGGCATGAAGATGACCTTGGTTGTCGATGTGAAGAGATAGTCGCCGCAGATGGGGCAGTCGCAGTCGGTGGACCGCTCGATGCATCTGTGCGAGCCGTGCAGATCCATGGTCATACACGCGTTGCAGCGCTGGCAGTGGAAGAAGTCGATGCCCAGGCCCTTGCCGATCCGGCAGATGCCGCAGTCGTTGCAGTGGTAGATGGACTTCTCGGGGTCGTCGTCCCACAGCTTGCAGATGGCGCAGTAGTAGGCGGACATGGACTTGTGGCACTCCACGCACTCCTGGGCAGCCGGCTGGGCCGTGCCGCAGTACATGCACAGCATGTTGCGCGTGTCCTTGCGGATCAGCGTGTGAGACTCGACGTTGTCGTGGCAGAAACGGCACGTGTACCACTTGTTGCACTCGTTGCACTCGAGCTTACACGCGCGCTGGTAGTGCTCGCAGCCCAGAATCTGCTGCTCCTCGTTGTGGTACGTCGGCTGCTTGTCCGTGGACGAGGCCTCTGCCGTAGGACGGGCGTCGTTGGCAGCCTGCTGGAGCCGGTAGTAGTCGTGCGTCATGAGCGTCTGCAGCATGTACGCCTTTTCGCGCTCGGAGAAGTCCGCGCGCTGGATCTCCATGATCTTCTGCCGCAGCGACACCTCCGTCTCGGGCTGGTCGCTCGTCGTTCGACAGAGCTTCTGGATGTATGCTATCATGCGCTGGGGAGCAGCCTGGGGAGCCGGAGTGGACCGTGGCGTACCTCCCGTGTCTGTGTTGGAGTCGTCGTTGTCGGGATCACTGTTTCCGCGCACGGGAAACGAGGGAATATGAAAGTTCCAGGACGGTCGGAACGTCGGAGGGCGGAAACGCCGGCGGTCGAAGCCGTCAAAGTTGAGCCGTCCGATCATGTCCATTTCGTCGTCATCAGAAGACGATTCCGAGGGCGGCAGCATGGGCGATCGCACAGTCGTCATTGTAGACGCCTCAACTACATCGTCCTCCTCTCCCTCGGTGTACTCGTACGAGCTTTCGCCCGCAACGTCGCTTTCCGCGGCGGAAAAGTCGTAGGGGTGCCGGCCGTCGACAAACAGCTGCTGGAAGCCCGTCGCTGCGCTCGCTGCTTCTCCGTTCTCCTCGCGGCCTCGTGTAAACCACGCCATGTTGAGTCCTCCGAAGGACGGCAGGTTCAGCGGTCCGCCGAGGCGTCTGTTGTTTTCGGGGGCCGAAAAGTAGTCCTCGGGACGCACCGCCGAGGGTCTGGCACCCGCAGTCTCGTCGTCTGAGCCCAGAACCGCGTCTCTGCTCTCGTTCCAGATCTCCGTCACTTCTCGCCACCGTTGCAGGTAGCTGCTCTGGAGCTCGGGCTCGGAGCACACGGCTGCTGTATCCTGAAGCGTGTTTCTGCGTTCTCGCGAGCGCGCAAGCACCGAGCCCTGCTGCTGCTCCAGATGAGCCTCCAGCTCCGGGGCGTCTCCGTTCTCCTCGGTTCTCTGCTGGCGATCCAGCCAGTTGCGGAAAACCTCGGGCATCATGTCGTCGCGGCGATGCAGAAACTCCGGCAGGCGAATCACCGGCAGCGGCGGAAATTGCATGTAGTCCATGGCGGCGGATAGCGATACGGGAGCCTTGTTCGCTTGCTTGGTGAAAAAGGTGTCACGGCCGTTTGAGTTTATCATGCAGTCAGGCTTTGTAAGTAAATGGCAGCCCATGCAGCGAGAGATGCCTGTGGTTTGTGGGGGAAAAGGAGGTCTTAGGGGACCCTGCGATGGCGCCACCACAGGTTCCACGCTACCGTGCGCTTAGATTTGCCCGACTCAGACTACCAGGTCTCCTCAGCTACTCGTGTGGCCTTGAAGTTAAATGTGACGATTTTGATGAGTGATATGGTGCGGTACTGCTACAAGTAGAGGGGAACAAACGGTCTTGAGTAGATGTAACTCGTTGTATATATAAAGGAACACGAACTTCTCACCTTACGAAGAATGCAAAATCGTCCCCTGCTCCCTCCTAAGCCTACCCCTCTATCTCCACCTCATCTCACGCCAACTAAACTCACATGCATATTAAAAATAAAATGCACGCCAACATCAACCCGGATCACCACCACACATGTCGACCAGAGCGTGCTACAGACGCTGCGTGCGGGCCGCAAACACGATAGCAACCTCCGGATACAACTCCAGCGGCAAGTTTCTCGCCGCAACACTCAAAGATGCGTTCGCAAAGGGCTCTGCGACCCCAGAGCAGCAGCTGCGAACCACCGAGTTTCTCGAACGAGCAGCTCGCTACAGAGGCGTCGAGAGCGACGTGATCCGCAACATGATCACGATCGACGTGGTGCGCCGCGCCAACCTGGTAGGCCTGAACCCGTACAAGAGACAGGGCATGGGCAACGAGGAGTTTGAAGGAGCCCTACATTTTGCGCTGAGCCACAATCTGCCTGGCGCAAAAGAATACAGCGAGGCGCTGCGAGAGGGCAAGCTGCCGGACATTCGCGAGAACACACGGTTGTTCTCGGACGTCATCAAGCTCGAGAACCACTACCTCTACAGCGAGTACGACAACCTGATCAAGGGACTCAACCAGACCATGAACATGGCTCTTCCGCTGGGTGGCCAAGTGTTGGCATATTCCAAGACAAACAGGGGCGCTACTGGTACAGGTAGACATCGGTAATGGCAGGAGGCGCCAGTTGTACATAGTTATTGCATTATTCATATTTGCGCAGCGTAAAGTACCCGTAGGGTGCTTTACTACCTACTTATGACAACTACCTACTGGTACTTTAGGGAGGTATCATTGTGAATCTCCGAATGAGAAAAATCTTGGAGTACTATACTAATTTCTCTAGCACTAATATTGCACCAGCTGGGGCTCTTTTTCTCCGCATAAACTATCTGCAAAAATTCTAGAAAAGGGCCAAGGATCTTTAAGTAATGGTGAAGTAGTATATCACCTGAAAGTCCTGGATGAGACGAGTCTTTTGGTTCTACTTGCAAGTCTCTGAGACGAACAGAGCTCGTTCTAGACACCTTTCAATTTAGAGAGAGGCTTACTATGGCATAGACGAAGGCTACATACCAGTATGTACTCGCACAACATTTGCACATGCTGTTGCTGGCATCGCAATAGCTACTTGCAGCTCGCTATTCATTGTTCAGCGCACAACTACATCCACCAACTAGTACACATCAAGTTTTTCATTTCTAGTAGACTGTTTTCGTTTTTCCACTGTCCTTAGTCGTACACCTTCGTCTAACCGTCCCCTTCTATATATGTTACATCTATTCGCGGTCGTACAGGACCTGCTTGACCGGCTCCGTCTCGCCGACGTAGAGTCGGTGCTCCTGGATGTATCGGATGACCGAGTTGGGTATCAGATACTGCACGCTCATGCCGCGGCGGATGAAGAGCCGCACCTTGGTCGACGAGATGTCGTTGTAGATGAGCTGCTTGATGACCAGCACGTTGCGCCGGTGCTCGTACATGATGTCGTGCGACAGCAGGAAGGATCGCACGTCTGCGCCCGTGCGCTCGACAATCAGACAGCCGTAGCGGCCCAGAATGTGATGCAAGTCGCGCTCCTCCCACACGTTGGGCTCGCCCATGCTC